GTGATTTGAACTTTCCACTTTCTTTCATTTTCATTTTTGACACTCAGAACACTTGTAACGTTTGGGACACATATTGTGTAAAATAAAAGATACGTGTCTACCAACCGCTGACTGGTACGGTGAGATTTCGTTCGCGGTACCTTTCGACGCCGTTTGGAAATCCCGCTTTAATCTTTTAGCGGTAAAGCCAGCTTGAAGTCCATTGCACCGTGAAGATAGCGCGAGTCGGTGATCGGTCGAGCCACTAACGAGTCACTCGTGCGATCAATCGCACGAAATCTGTTGTTAATTTTTTTTCCTCCTCGCGAACGAAGTCGTGACAGTGCCTTATTTTATCGCCGAACGTGGATTAATCCTCGAGTGAACAGCTGTTACAAAATGAGTGGTACATATTACGAAAAGTGAACGAAATGAAAGTTTCTTTGAAGTTTGAACTGCGGTGATGGGCGCTGTTTGTCACTTGATCGAAGTGTTTCATGAAAACTGTGCTTTCAGTGATGTTTCATAGGTTTTGGACGGATTTTCAATCGGGCTCGAACAAAAGTTTAGATGTGTAAACGATTTCTGTGACAAGTATCGTGTACGAGTTAATTAACACAATGGGAGAAATCGTAAAAATTTCGCAAGGTGACGATCAACAAAATGCGGTGAACGGCTGGGGTGACACTATGGGCAAAATACAGTACTGGTGTCCTGAAGGTAGCTGTTATTCCATATTCCTGGTAGTTACTTTATGAAATCCTAGACTATTAAAATGTTATTTCAAGCAAAATTTTTTTTTACGTCAATCTTATCAATATTCATCGTTCATTGTCTTTAGTTAAACTTTAGTGATAAACGCTCAAATTAGAATTATGAATTCACATCGGGATAATATATCACACACTTGTAAAAATAAAAAATTGAAAATGAAATTTAAATATTTATCTTATTGCATATAAGCAAGTATTTCAAAAAACGGTTAACATTGATTCATGTTAACACTGCTTGTCAATCATTACTATTTTAAGGCGCAATCTAAGCACGATTCAAATACTGCAAACTGATTTCCATTTCATCATAACAGAGTGTAAAAGCATCCCTAGGATGGTCTAGGTAGCTTGTATGATGCAAGACCTGAAAATAAGTTTCGTTGGCATTTTGTAAAATGGATGGAAAAGAAAAAAGTTTCTAGGGGCCATGCATCGAGTGATAGTTACGTTACTGAAATACTTGTGTGATGATTCAGTAACGGCGGTAAATGTAAGAACTTGGGATTAAAAATAGCAGATCTGGACGAAATGGAAAACCACCCTAGTCTTTCACCTTCTAAAAATATCGTATATAACACGTGGTACAAATTGATATAGAACAATTAGAAAATAATATATGCAACTTCTCGGTCTTGTTCTTTATCGGCCAGCATGTCTCTCACGGAGATAATTTACCGACCGTGAGAAACGGACGAACGCGAAATTCGCAGAAATCCATTGGCGCTTTCGTCACTGTTCTAACGAATAAATTAACGAAACCGAAGATTTGGAAATAACGTTTCACACTCCGAATATTTGCACTAGTTTTTCCTACCGTGTTGACGCAAAAAGAAACGCAATTTGAATTCCGAACGAATTAGAAGATCGAGTATAGAAATCAGGTCCGATCTAACCTCACATTCGCTTTGACTCGCGGTGCATTTGCAATCCGGCCCTAATTAACGTTCTCTACGTCAATGAGTTTGCTCCTCGATCCTGCTTGTATGTTATTACGACGTTTTACATCGAGAGTCGTTAGACTTTGAACAGTTAGAATGATCGGGCGAGCCGATAAACATGCAGTCCAGTACTGTCAAGGACTCAGCACGGTTTTGTAGTTGCACGTGCTTTCTTTCCTAGGGAATTTTGCGAGAAACAGTAGTCAGTTGAATGGAAGTTTACTTTGATTAGCGAGGTTACGCTTAACATTTATGGAACCTGTCTAAATTAGTTGATAGATTTCTTATTTTCAATTACGAAAATTATTAAGAAACTTTTGCCAAAATTAATATTTGTCGTATGAGCGTACTATCCATTTATTCATTTTTATACTTCAGTTTCAATTTATGTAAATGGTCATTAAACGTCCATAAATCTAGGCTTATTCACCTTATTTTTGCTGATAAATAAAATTTTAATAGGAGGAAAAATTTCTCACAATGTACTTTCCATCGTATTTTCTTATTTTAATAGAAAATAATATAATTTTCTATTGATAATAAAAATAATAATGGAGAAATAGAAAAAGATATTAATAAAATATCTAGATAATATAGGACCTAGAAAATAATATTAATAAAAATACTAAAATTGATTATTATTAGGTATAATTAGTAACATAATATTAGAAACAGATCATCTAAGAATATAGAAATATTTAGGGATTTCATATGCATCTAGAAATATTAGAGATTTTGGATATATGGAGAATATGAAAGGTTATAGGGTTTTATAGAAATACCTATAGAAATATTGGAGATAAAAATACCTAGAAATATAAAAATCTAGAAATATTAGATATGAAATATCGCATGAATTTAGATAAATAACTAGGAATTTAAGAATATATGTAAAGAGATACATAAAGATTTGAGGATCGAAAAATCTGAAAATACAAATTAATAAATAAATCTAAGAAATAAAAATTAAAAAATTATACAAATATACATATAATAAATATGTTATACCATTGTGTTTAATAACTGCATAACCATTTTTTATCACATAGATATTTTCCAAGAATTATAGAGAAATTAACGTTCCGTTTTTTGTACAATACTTAAGCATGTTTCGCGTTAGCGATAGCAAGTTTAGCGGCTTTAGTTACGTACTGACTCAGCGAGGAAAAAAATTCTTTTGAATGTGACTTTCCTCGATCGTAACGAAACTAATTAGTCATTCTTCCGTTTCGATGTCGATAACCATTTTGCGTAAATATTGTTTGAACTCGGACGAATATTTTTGATTTAGCAGTAACGTTGCATCATCAGACGATAGCTAAAGTTTTTTTAAATTTCCCGCTCTCTGATATTTCTTATCTCTATATATAAATTAATGTAGCTCATTATGAATGATGCAGAATTTTGTTAATTGAAGGGAAATCGTTTTGAAAATTGATTTAAAGATAGCTTGGTACATCTGCATATTTTTTATTGCTTCTTAACGTATTTCACAGTTTATTCATTTAACGTCGGTTTACGAGCACTTATGAGAAATTTCACCGTTTTATGACAGGAAACAGCTATGAAAGGTGACCTCCTGATCTCGTGATCTTAAATAAATTTTATAATGTTCCGGTATCAACTCAAATTTCATTTGACACATATTTTTTCTATATGCATGTTTTGCTTGGTCGTGATAAACGATATGCTCAGATAAGCATATCTTTCGATTCGAGGGTGAAATAACACGAGTTAATTTTATTATAATTAAATCTCATAATTTTACGTTTCGAAATTTTTTACAATAGTCAAGAAAAATATTTTTAACTTCAATACATTGGTATCAATCACGATAGATGAAAAATAAATAAAAGTTTATCGAAAGCCCTTTTTTATTTATTATTACATGTAGGCTATTTTTCTGTTACATTGGATTTAAGCAAATACTAATTTGTATAAGATTATGGACACTTTCTTCATACGACGCACATATCAAATATTGCATTCTAAAAAATTAACTATAAAATAAAAAGTGAAAAGTATATCTGTTACTGATGTTAATATCATCTGTAACAATATTTTAATGTTTTCAAAATGAAAAAAAATAAGTTTAGAAGCATTAATAAATAAGTGCAGTGCACTTCAGTTTACACTTAAAAGGTTATATAAGCTTCATAATGAGATATCGAACGAGTAATAAAAATTACGTGATATTCTTACCGTTTGGTTCATGTTCAAATGTAATTGCAACAATTTGTATAACAGAAACGTTAATAAATTTCTTTTATTACGAGCATTTTACACATGTTTGAGCAGGAGTTAAGTAGACCGCGAACACGAACAGAAATGCATTTAGTAGTAGGGACTCGAATCGGCGGTGCATCGTTGAAGAACCTTTACCTCGTTTCTAACGGTACAAAAATTCAACGAGCTCGTGTTCATCATGAATCATGCATGCTCGCGATGTATTCATAGCGTACGTCGGTCTATCTTCGACAATCGCTGATGCGTGATGTGTGAAACGAGTTTGAACAGCTGTAGGTAGATCAAAAGATGCAGCTATCGGCGTGTTTAACACATTTCATTCATTCTTAACCTTTAACCATGCAAAATTGCACTTTTTTTAATTACTACAAACATTATTTCAAATGTTAAAAATATACTTCCCGTATTAGATTTTCAATACTTATAGAAACCACCCTAAGGTTTCAAAATTGTTTGTAGAAATCAGCTAGCGGTTCTAACATTGTCATATTCAAGTAAAGTACTTTTTCAAAAGTGGCAGACAGTGAAAATATAGTTTTTAAGGAGATTGTCCACTCTCATGAAAACCGCCATAAGGTTCCAAAATTGGTTATAAAAACCACCCATAGGTTTCAACATTGTAATATACAAGTCAAGCATTTTTTCAAAAATGACAAACAATGAAAATATAAATTTCAAGGAATATTATTCACTCTCATGAAAACAACCCTAAAGTTCAAAATCGTTCATGAGAATCGCACAGAGATTCCAAATTATAAGTCTGAAGTTCATCTGCTTCTTTCAACTGACAAGCGATGAAAATTTAACTTTCTATTCAGAGTTTTTAAGGAAAATTGTCAACTCATAAAAATTGCCCTAAGGTTCAAAATGAAACCTAGATACTCTTCAGAGGTTCCAAATTTTAAAATTGAAGGAAAGATGCTTCTTTCATAGTGACGAGCGATGAAAATTTAATTTTCTATTCAGAACTTTCAAGAAAGATTGTCAACTCTCATGAAAATTACCTTGAAGTTTAAAATTACTTACAGAAATTGCCCAAAAACTTAAAGATTGTAACAATACAGAAATTACATTGTTTTATTCAATTTCCAAGTGGAAAAAATATAATTTTGTAGTTTGAGTATTCAAGGAAGAATGACATCGTTCATAGAAACCAACCAAAAGATTAAAAATCGTAAAATGAAAGTTAAATTGTTCGATCGTCTTTGTCAAAAGTTCATTTAAATCTACGGCCGACACAAATTAACTCTTTCGTTCCGTGTCTTCAAGAGGGACTTACGGCATTCATAGAAACCGCCCGCAGGTTTCAGACTCGTAGCAAGATTAAAGTAAAATATCTCAATCGCATCTTTCAAGAGGTCATTCGAATCTACAACCGGTGAAAACACACTCTACCCCGGACTTCCAAGAACCGCTCGCAGCATTCATGGAATCCGCCCAAAGGTTCCAAAAGGCCAGAGTTAAACTGTTCGACCCTAAAGCTGCTTTAAACGTGCGGGTGACAAAAATACACTCCTCCAACCCGAGTTTCCAACGCTCGCAGCGTTCAGAGAAACGCTCCTTAAGCCTCGAAGGTAGGGGGCCGAGATGAACGCGTTCGAAACCGAATTTAGGTAACCGATTCATGGTGCAACTGGCAAACGAGAAGATGAGGAACAATGGTGGACGTGTGCGTGTGCGGTTAGAGAGCGGTGTGGAGGGCTGGGGTTGACGCGTCGACGCGCACAGGCGTCGAAGGCAGAGCGGCCGTCGTCGGGCGGCCGTTCATGGAAACGAAGCAATCTGGTGGGGGATAACGGAAGTATGCAGTTCGTATTGAGGCAGGTCGGTGCAGCGCCACGAGTCGCGCTCCAGGCGCAGAGATCAATGCACCCACCCTCTTCGTGTCTCGTCTTCGACGTCCACGTTGAGTCCGCGAGCATCGGGATGCGAGCCACAGGATCGCGAGAGCCCTCCACCTGGGCCACGTAGATCAACAAAAATGGGAGAGTACTGTTTAATAAAACACGTGCAAAGAAATATATTCCAGTAAGAAGCCTGCAGGATGAACCTGAAGACGCTGTCGACCCCCACGGTGAAGTGCTGAGCTCGGGGCATTAAGGGTGCTTTCACACCGTAAATCTTAGTTGTAGAAGACCTGAATCTGCTAATATGCGGGTTGGATATATTAGACGCGTGAGAAAACACATGCGAGGTCAGTGAGGCAAGTGATTAAGGAGTCTAGCAGGATGAACTTGAAGATACCTACCCCTGGGAGCCCAGCAACTGGCCATTGAGGATACCTCCACACTAGTTACGTACTTGGAGGCCTGGATTTAATAACATATTTTGAGGGGAGAGATAAGAATGTTAACCAAGAATCATTCGGGCCACAGCTCTGGGAATCTGGCGTCAGCGTTCCACCGATGAGTCCAGCGCCTGGAATGATAAATGGTGACCTAGTAGAGACTGGGAGTGGAGGGTGGAGTTGATCCGAAAGGTAGCCGAAGAATGGACGGTCAGGAGACGTAGGGACGCAGCTCGAAGAGGAGGAGGACCAACCTAACTGTAGCCGATGGACACGGTATGATGATCAGGTTGTACCCAGGTGCAAGACATCTGTATGATCAGGGTAACCTGGAGAACGATGTCGAGGAGGTACCTAACCTGATCATGCAGAGTCCATCGAGGAAACGGAAGACGGTCTGCGCCGGTGCTGAGAGTTTAAAGAGACTGTTATGAGAGGAGCAAAGGGAGTGCGTAACGAGGACGTGTATCGACGGGAACAGAGGCCCTTTCTTCCCGGAGTGTTCTCGACCCTGTCCCAATTTCCAGCCAGCCTCCACAAAGCGGAGGACGAGATGTCACGGATTAATGGATCCGCAACGATCGGAGAACATGAGCTTGTGAAGAGGATGAGATGTGGATGGGTCCAGAGATAGAGGAATGACGAGTAGAGCAATAGGTTCAGCTGTATGAACTGTCGTTACGTGTAGGCAGAATGTTCAAGAGCAGGATCTTCCAGGGCGATCTCAGCCCTGTCCCCATTCCGGGCAGCCTGCAACAGTCCAGTACGTAACAATGAAGGATTCCCCTTACAATCGATACACGCACGTTTCGTACAGGCTATCGATCCCTCAGGTTCTTCCTGGGTTTATGAAGATGTGTTTGGTTATGTTCTTTTTTTTTTTTCAAATTGCAATTTTTGTATTTCATTCATTTTGAATTGGAATACATCAAATTGAAATCGACTTGGGTACTTTGATGTGGATTAAAGTAGAATTGATAGTTTGGCGGTTGCAGGTTTTAGAATCAAATTGGATGTTTGATTTTGATTTCTGTTTGGTGTTTTTATTGGTCATTGTTAGTCTTTGGAAAGATTGATATATTTTATTTAGGTATTTGGAAGTTTAAGAAGTTTGCAAACTTTTAAATAATATTTAATAATTAATAAATAATTTGATTTTAAATATTTAAATACTTAAATCATAAAATTTCCAATTTTCTAAATTTTCAAATACTTTCCGAAATTTACCAATTTCTAAATTGCTAAATTACCAAATATTTAAAATTTTCAAATTCCTCAATTTTTAGATCTTTGAATTTACAAATTCACAAATTATAAAATTGTGTAAATTCCGAATCCTTAAATTTTCCAATTTTCAAAATCCCTAAATTCTCAAACTTATAAATGCTCAACTTTCCGTATATCCAAATCCCGGTATTCTCAAATCTGGAAATTCACCAATCAGAAAACCAACAAATTAAGGGGCTTTTCCTATATCGCCGTTTTCTCCATAAGACCGTGCTCCTACCGTGTTCACCAACGAACTACTCCTTTATAACGATATCAATTAAATTTGAATTAATCTATGATATCAATTTTCTCCTTATTGCAACATAATTCAATTATAATATATTAACTATCAAAGTCACAGTAATCAGATTTACAGGCAATATTGTACATTATATTAATAGACTTACAATTATTTTCAAGTATTAAAATTGTTTTAGAAAATTTGATTTTTCACTCAAACGCTATAAAATTTTTCATTATCAATTACCCACCTGATATTAACTATTTCCATACAGCAATTTTATTTTTACTTAAAATAAACTACTTTATTTTTAAATTGTGCTCAATATTTCCTCTTATTTTTTTTCAATCATATTCAGTATTTTTTCTTCGCGTTATTTTTCAATATTAGTCAAGCTTTTTTTTTAATTTATTTTTCAATCGTATATATATTACATAATATTAGATATATATTTTCAAGTAGGCCAAGATATGAAATTTTCAATGTTCAGATTATTTGTAAACCCTTTAAATTTCATCTTTTTGCTAGAAAGAACAGCTTTATGTAAAAAAAAGCATCTATAGATGTGCCGAATATACCATGAATAATTACACTTTTATTCCACTAATTTCGTATACTTTTGTTGCCGTGATTTTACGACTCTCATAAATCGCCGTTTTTTGCGGGGTGTTTTACAGCACAGTTGGGACTGAAGTTGTTCGCATACAAATACTATCATTTAATTGCTCCTCCTTTCTGTTTCTTAAATAACAATAAACAATATATAAAATAAAATTTCACATTGACGGGGTTAAATATGACCCCACAAAGTTTTGTCACTTAACCGTTTAACCCACAAAATACCATTAAAATAGCAGATAAATGATATTAAAATAGTAAAAAATATAAACGATAGTAAAATCTTGTAAACGATATCGAACGCGTTCGTTATATTGCATACTCTCTCTCATCCCTGATCCCGATAACTGTGCACAGTTGAATCTGTAATTTCAACTGCGGATGAAAAAAAAAAGGAAAATGAAGACGTTGTAGTGGATGGAAGGTTAAGACGAGGCTGATAACGCGAAAAACTAGGTGTATCCGGGTGGAGTGGGATACCAAAGAGGTCGTTGACCTGTTTGGTGCAGCTGTTATTGATCGGCGGACGAGGACTAGCAACATTGCTTCGCCGTTTCGTCGTTGAACGCTCGTTCTCGTCCTTTGCCCGCAGGATCCGTCTATATTTTCTGCCGGGGAATCGTCTTCGTCGAACAGACGGCCAGGTTTCACCCTCGTCCTCGTCGTATTTCACCACCTCGACCCAGAAACGTAGCTCGAGGAGGGAATCCGGCAAAGAGCGTGGCGCTAGCTGACCCAATAAACACTGGGTGACCTCTTTCCTGACTCCCCTCCTTCCCCACCGCCTCCCCTCACCGCTGTTCTTCCCCTTCGACGGCCGTAAAACTGCCATGGCCGTAGGAATATTTCCAGAAACTCGTTTTTCAACGGATACCACTTATACGCTTCGAAAAAGTTGGAAGTAGATGAACGAAACCGAGATGGATTTTCCTTCGAATAAATTTCTACCTCTCTTTTTTGCTAGGAAATTTTCTTCTGCCTGGCGAATTTCGGAATTATTTTGCTTAATTTACAAATTATATTAATTTGCAAACAATTCCGTGGAGTTTACTTAAGAAAAAATGGTTGTTTCATAATATTTACACTTTCGGGTGTGTCATGTTACACGTTGCTTACTGTTTGGTGTATCACACATCGAAGGGAGAAATTTGTTTTTGAAATGTTTGATATGTAATACACAGTTATGACTGTGTTGTAGTTCTACTACACTGAAAAAATATTCCAAGCCACCTTATGAATTATTTATTATTATGAAATGTAGTAGGGAAATATTGCATAATCAGATTGAAAGTTTGAATGTCATGAATATACTTTTTGATACTACGGGTTATAGCTGTCTTATTAACACGTTAAAATCCAGTCTTGTAATATTACTCTTCTCTGGGAATAATATTACCTATTTCAGAACCGTCTTGAAGTTGAATCTTTTCATAAAGCTGAACAAATAAATCGTTCGAAGCAACTTTATGGCTTACGTTTAAGAAAATTTGTTTCATCATTCACACTTTCAAACCCAACTGTGTAATATTACCCATCATCGCTTCTATAAAATGTGTAATATCGCACAGTTAAATTACAATGGCAGTGTTAAATTACAGTCTTTCGTTTAAAAGAGAATCATTAGAAACAGTTTTACAATGTTGTACTTAAGGCAATGCACTTTTTTATGTTGATTAACGCTTTCAAACTCAGCTATGTAGTATCAAACATTTCGTTTGCCTGGAGTATGTAATGTTATATAGCTGAGTCTGAATTAGGTTATCTTCCGATTGAATTGATAATATAGACCTTTCAAAGTAATTATGTAAAAGATTGTATCATTAACGCGATATAATTAATTTTTTTTCAGGCCAGCAGAGTCAGCAGGGTGAACAGGAGTTGGCGACGAAGATGTTGCAGATTCAGAGCAAAAGATTCTATCTGGATGTAAAACAGAACAGACGTGGAAGGTTTATCAAAGTAGCCGAGGTATTTTATTCGAATTTTCATCGACTTCCGATTCGTGACGCGAATCAGGAATTGCGTTCAACAAGAGAAAGAAAAAGGAAAAGAAGAATCTTCTTTTTTGATTGTGTAGATTGGTGCGGACGGGAGGAGAAGTCAAATTTACCTGGCGCTCAGTACAGCATCCGAGTTCCGGAACTACCTTTCGACGTTTAGTGACTTTTACGCATCCCTAGGTAAACCACAATCTTCACATATGAAACCGGATTTTATCGAGATTCGATAGTTGCCGCTAGGGAGAATTCATAAGTTATTCAAATTCATGGACCAGAAGTTTCCTAACTAAGCTATGAATTATAACTAGTCCATGAAACGCTAACTGGTGAACATTTCGCATCGTCACGTGTCATATAGTCAGTTTTATTGTCAAGCATTGTGCAAGTGCATTATATCGTCATGCGTTGCTCTAAATCCACGCGTTATATTGCCATATGTTATATTACGCATAATATTGCGACGCGTTATATCGCCACACAATATATTGCAACGCATTGTATTTCCGCACGTTGAATTTTCTCGTATTATACTACCATTATATTGCCATATGTTATATTACCACGCATAGCATTGTGATGGGTTATATCGCCACACGATATATTGCAACGCATTGTACTTCCACGTACATCTTGAATTTTCTCGCATTATACGACCACCCGTTATATTGCCATATGTTATATTACCACGCATAATATTGCGTCGCGTTGTATCGCCACACGATATATTGCAACGTATTGTATTTCGACGTGTTGAATTTTCTCACATACCACACGTTATATTGCATCATGTTGTGTTGCTATGTATACTATTACTACACATATTTCCATGTGTGATAATGTACTATATTTCACGCGTTTTGCTTCCACATGTTATATTGCTATGCATTTTATTTCCACGTGTTTTATCACTTCACATTATTTTACTGCACGTTTCATTTCCACTCGCTATATTGCCACGTGTTATATTTTACAGGTTTCGTTTCCACATATTATATTGCCATGCATTGTGCTTTCACGTGTTTTATCACTTCGCGTTATTTTACTACACATTTCATTTCCACTCGTTATATTGCCACGTGTTATATTTTATAGGTTTCGCTTCCATATATTATATTGCCATGCATTGCATTCCCATGCGTTTTATCGCCTCGTGTTATTTTACTACACATTATATTGCCACGCGTTAAATTGCGAAGTGTGGTATAATGAAGCGTTATATTTCCACGCGTGGTATTATAATTATTATAATTGTCACCACACACTGTCAAACTAAATGTGATATTGGCATGCGTATTATCACTTGTATAGTCCTCGCATTGTATAGCCACGAGTTATATAGCTCTCACATTACATACCTCTTGTGTTCTGTAGCAACAAATTAAATAGTTTTCACATTATAATTATATAACTTTCGTTATATTGCAACAAATTATATTCCCCTTGCATTCCATGGCAACAAATTATATAGTCCTCGCATTATATAACCACTACTTAAATGGCTCGAGTGTTATATTACAACAAATTATATACCTCTTGCGTTTTATAGTAACGAGTTATTGTAGTCCTTGCGGTATATAAGCACGCTTAAACAATTTTCTTATTATATAGGAGTGCTTTGAATTATCCTATTCGTATTTATTAACCTACTTATAAACATGTACATAATGTTTAATTTACCATAAAACCTAATGAGAAATATTTAAAATATCCATTCCTGTTCGACCCACTGATCCTACAGGTCCACCAAGCTCGGAGAACGTACCAGACGATGGGAAACTGAAATCAGAAGTGATGACCAAGGATAACAGGCGGTATTATTTGGACCTGAAGGAAAATACTCGCGGCCGTTTCCTGCGGGTGAGTCGCCCCTGTATGTACCAGCCAATGCATATGCTTTCTACGTTAATTGATCAAATGAATCAATCTCGGATATCTCCCTTGAAATGAAAGGATTACGAAGGGTAAACAGTTCTTAGAACAGTTTGCAAAAGCAAGATATCGCCCAAACAGTTGTCTCTATATTTAAACTGCTTTAATAACGTTTTACAACGGGAGAGGTAGTTGTGATAATAATTAATACTTGTTCCGTAGGTGTCGCAGACGATCACAAGAGGAGGACCCAGGTCGCAGATCGCGATACCGGCACAGGGTATGATAGAATTTCGTGACGCGTTGACAGACCTCCTTGAAGAGTACGGTACGGACGATGGCGGTTTCAAGGGTGACTTACCAGAGGGACGATACATGCGCGTGGATAGCAAGAATTTCTATTTTGATATCGGCCAGAATAACCGTGGTATCTACATGAGAATTTCCGAGGTGCGTACAGTCGCAGGCTAAAAATACGGGGTGTCTCTTAACCCTTTTAGCTTAGGCACGGTTCAACTGAAAGCTGTGTATGGGACTCTAATCGCTAACTGAACATATCTCAAATTTTATGCCGTCTATTATTTATTATTATTGTACTTTTGAAAAATATTCATCCTTGCATTTTTGAATTATATAAGTTTGCATATCACTCTCAAAACAATTTACATCCAATCACAACCTCTTTAACCCTTAACGAACGAGCGCATTTTTCTAAAACTATGACCAGTAGGTCGACGGATTTTTAAGAAATTAAGTGCTTCATTTCCAGAACAGATATGTCCATACAAAAGATCACTAAAGTGAAAATTTCAGAAAAATAATAGGAATTGAAATAAACAAATAGATGCGTGTATGTAATGTATAGATTTGTATACATTTCCTAAAATATCACGTCATGCCGCGTGTATGGCGGCATTCGATTTGTTTAGAATATTTACAATGTCGCGAGTATGGCGGCATTCGTTCGTTAAGGGTTAAGAATATTAATCCGTATGTTTATATTTAAGCATAAGCTTTTCAGGAATATTGCTATATACAGGGTGTTACTTGTAACGCTACTCACGATTTTTCTCCCACTTGCAGCCACCTTACGAACAAATGTTTACGACAATATTTGCAGGGTGTGAAGTGCACAATAGATATTAGTAAAGCAAATTTTTAAAACAGTTTGTT